GGCGATTCTTGTTCAAAATCTGGCTCTCGGCAGGCGCTGTGCTTTTTCGTCTTTCACACCTGTAACAGTTCCATAGATGGTTGGGGGCTCCTTTGAAGACGGACCTCTCGCTTGAGTATTCTCCGAGTTTGACGACTGGGAGCACCAGTTACACGGAAGGGGGGGCCAGCTCAATTTCGAACTGGGGCTCTGGCTTGCAACTTCCTCAAATCTAACGGCCAGACATGTCGACGCGTGCGCCAACCGTACCGGTGAAGGGCGCTTCCTCTTCAAAAACGTGGTCTCGCTGGACCTCTTTTTAGTCCTTCTGATCCTACCCTGGACAGGTCAAGTCGTCCTGCTGCCCCAAAAAGAATATCTGAGGACCAGTCCGAAAACCAGAGCCCCTGCAGAACCAAGAGTTAAGACGAAGCCAGGACGAGGTTAAACTCGGGTGAAGACAAGTCGAGAATCTCTGAGATCTGGCGGCTCAGGAAGACGGGTCGGACGCCGCGGCCTTCTCAGAGCGTTCCGGAACGCTCTGAGAGCATTTCGGAACGCTCTCGAACGGATTTATCCTCATCCCAGCCCCGTCTGAAGAATGGTTCTTATTTCCAGCGTGCTGACCTTAGCTGCCCCGATACGCAACACGCAACACGTAGCGTATTGATACGAAGCTCAACATGTGGACTGAAAACGTAGGCCCGACGCGACATGCTCGCCAAAACGTGGGCCGATACGTGGAACCAACATTTAACGTATTGACAAGGACGTCTTGAACTCGGGACGTGCTGCGTTTCAAAACGGGCGTATCGAGACAACTAATCGGGGATGGACAGACCCCCCTTTAGTAAAACGTGGTTTAGTGAAAACGACCTGAGGCCCAAACACGGCGGGCGCAAGCCTGGAAAATAGCGGCCACGGCGCCCTCTCGAGAACCGAAAACGGACAACTCACTAATCGACGTGTCACTGTTGGGGGTTCTGTCCACCCCCGAACTAAGGTGCTGCCTGCATCACGCCTGGGAATTCCGCTCCACGGCGGGCTCTCCCGCCCGCATGCCAGGAGTCCAGACCCCGGCCAGTCGGGCCTTGCAAGAACCTTCTTCTTCTCCTTCTCCTCCTCCTCCTTTTCCTCCTCCTCCTCCTTCCTTCTCCTCCTCCTCCTCCTCCTCCTCCTCCTCCACCTCCTCCCCTCCTCCTCCTCTCCTCCTCCTCCCTCCTCCTCACCTCCTCCTCCCCTCCTCCTCCTCCTCCTCCCTCCTCCTCCCTCCTCCTCCTCCTCCTCCTCCATCCTCCTCCTCCTCCTCCTCTCCTCTCTCCTCCTCCTCCTCCTCCTCCTCCTCCTCCTCCTCCTCCTCCTCCTCCTCCTCCTCCCTCCTCCCGTCACCCCCCTCACCTGCAGGCTCCTACAGGATCCTGCACCCAAGTCGGGGCCAATGCGACCCCTGGTCCTGCAAGATCCTACAAAATCCGGCGCTCTGGCTGACACCCGCTTGCATCGACCCCCGTCTTTTGAGCCCAGAGTCTCTCCGGGAGGGCGCCTGCCTTGATGGGAGAGCTGCCAGCCAGAAGACTCTCGGGTGGGACGCGCAGTGACATGCTAGCACTACATGTCCTCCGTGGAGGCGCGCGTCCGACCAGAACGTACAGTATACCCCTCTTGTAGTATATCGTTTCCCGAGCGGTGCGGCAACAAAGCGCCCGCCACGGCGCGTGTACTATGAGATTTCTTGGTGCGCGCGTCGCCCCTGGGGGGGCGACGCACACACAGTATTAGTATGTTGGGGTGCCGATCGGGGGAGGGGACCTGCGTGACAGGAGGGGGGCAGCTGCAGCCACCGCCGAAGCATCCCGGGTCTGCTCCGGTGCTCCCTGCTGCTCCTCCTCCTCCTGCTCCTCCTCCGCCTCCTCCTCCTCCTGCTCCTCCTCCGCCTCCTCCTCCTCCTCCTCCTCCTCCTCCTGCTCCTCCTCTTCCTCCTCCTCTTCCTCCTCCTCCTCTTCCTCCTCCTCCTCATCTCCTCCTCTTCTTTCTCCTCCTCCTCCTCCTCCTCCTCTTCCTCCTCCTCCTCCTCCTCCTCCTCCTTCTCCTCGTCCCCTAAGCGGCGCGGTGGCGGACCGTGCGGTGATTGCGGGGCCCCCCAAAGACCTCACCGCACGGCCAGGGCCCCGAACCCCCCACTTGACCGAGACGTCCTCGGAGAGAAGGAGCCGAGTCCCGAAGCCGTGTGGCCACCCCGAATGCCACTGAATCGCCACGCGGTGTGGCCCCCGCCACACCACCTGGGGGCCCCCGATCCTTCGCCTCCTGCTCCTCCTCCTCCTCCTCCTCCTCCTCCTCCTCCTCCCGCGGCGACGGCGGCGAGCCAGGAGGCTCTGCAGGGCGGCGCGGCTGATGATGTAGCCGCCGCCCCCGCAGAAGCCGCCGTGCGCGTTGTAGGCCGCGACGTCCTGGCAGAACAGGCCTCGGCGCTCGGCGCGCGGAGCTCGGCTGCGAGCAGGAGGGGCCCCAGCGTCAGGGGGCAGAATCATAATATGATGAGGGGGCTGTGCGGTCCTCCTCCTCCTCCTCCTCCTCCTCGCTCGCTCCTCCTCCTCCTCCTTCTCCTCCTCCTCCTCCCCTCCTCCTCCTCCCCCTCCTCCTCCTCCTCCTCGCCCTCCTCGCCCAGCTGCCGCCGGCGGCGGCAGGCGCGCAAAGAGGCAAGGCCTCGGGCTATGCAGGCCTTGTGCCGCGCTGGGTGCGTGGCTGATGTGGGGATCCGCGGTGCGGAGTCTCGTTGAGCACTTCTTTCTTTAGAGCAACTGTTGCTGATCTGCGGAAGATTGGCAGGAGCGCTCTCGTCCGAGATGGGGCTGCGATCTCGTGGAACGCAAAGCTCACGCTCGAGCGCGGGCTTTAGACCGAATGTGTGCTGTTGAAGGCCAGACTGCAAAAAAAACGGCTCCCGCCTGAGACCTCCTCGTAATGTATCCAGGCCCCCTGCTCCCGATCGAGACTTCCTTATAATTCACTCAGGAATCGCGCTCTGGCCTGGGACCTCTTCACCAATTATTCAACATCCTTCAAGGCCCAACTGCAACAACACCTGCTCCCGCCCGAGACTTCCCCGCAATCATTCAGGACCCCCGCTTCCGCCAGAGACATCCTCACGATTTACTTATGAAACGGGCTCTCGCCTGGGACTTCGTCACAATTTGCTCAGAACTCACGCTGTGCGCCCAAAGGCGCGGCTACAACAGAACGGCTCCCGCCTGAGACTTCCTCGCCATGTATTTAAGACCCCCGCTCTCGCCCGAGAACTCCTCTCAATCTATTCTGGAATTGTGCTCCTGCCCTTGTTGGCCCCTGCCCTTCGTGGCCCCCCTCGCTCCTGCTTCGGGGCCTCGGAGCTGCCCTTCGTGGCCCCTGCCCTTCGTGGCCCTGTCGCTGCCCGTCGTGCTGCCCTTCGTGGCCCTGTCGCTGTCCTCGGTGGCCCCGCTCGCTCATGCGCCGCCCGACCCGCCCGTTCGGGCCCGCCCGCCCGATCCGCCAGGGTCCGGCCCGCCCGACCCGCCTGTCAGCATCCGCTCCTCTCTCCTCCACCTCCTGCTTACTCTACTTCGCCCTCAGTCCTCCTCCCTCCCTCTTGCCCCCCTCCCTTCTCGTCCTCCCCCACTCCTCACTCTCTCTCTCCTGGTTCCTCTCCCCTCCCCCTCGTCCTATTTGGGAGGCCGCGCTGGCCACATGTAGCAGGCGATGAATCCATAGTATCTAGATGCTCAGACGTATGTATGTATGCAGCATGCATGCATGTATGCATGTGTGTGTGCATGACTATACGTATGATATGTATGTATGTATGTATGTATGTATGTATGTATGTATGTATGTATGTATGTATGTATGTATGTATGTGTGTGTGTGTGTGTATGTATGTGTATATGTATGTATGTATGTGCGTATGCATGCATTTATGCATGCATGCATGTATGCATGTTTCTATGCATGTGGGTATGTATGTATGTATAAGGGTATGTAGGTTTGTATGTTCGTTCATATGTATGTATGTAGGTATGTATGTATGCCTACAAAGGGGTGCGACCGAAAACCATGAAGGCAAGCATCGAGGGCTTGGGCTACACATGATGAGTGACACGCGAGGGCTTAGGAACGAACCGTCTTCAAACGATTGAACTCCCTGTCCTGCAGAACACAATCGAAGGATGCAAGGGCCTTGGACTCCCCTTTCGAATCTTTTCGAGCGGGCGGCGGCCAACGAGGGTGGCCAAGGATGGGCCGAAGAGGCAAGGGTGCCAATGTACCCGTGGGAAGGTTGCCCATCCTTACTATGCGGGTCGACTGTAACCATTGTTGATACCCCCCCAACGGGTGCCCGTTGAATTTTCAAATGGAAGTGTCCCCCTCCAGGGGTTGCACCTGTTTGTCTAGAAGTGGTAGCCCACGTGGGCCCCCAAACAGTGGTTTCTTGCAGCCAGTGCGGTGCAATCTGGATGGTGCAATCGATGTGGTGCAATCTAGCGGGTGTAATCAATCACTTGCTCACTCAACTTGAAGCTGTCCTCTCCACTGCTCGTGCAAACATCTCACCCTCCCACCCGCAACTTGGCCGCAAGACCTCTTAATACCGTGACGGTGGGTACCAAATGGCCCTTGGCAACGACACCGACGCCGACGACGACAGCGACCACTACGACGACGACGGCGCTGCCGACAACGACTACGACGACACCGACGACGTCTCCAACGACTTCCACGACGACGACAACGACGACCACACCGACGACGACGACGCCGGCGCCGACGACGAAGACGACGACGATGACAATGCCGACGACGACGACGCCGACGACGCCGACGACGATGACGCCGACGACGAAGACGACGACGACGTCGCCAACGAAGACGACGACGACGAGAGAGGAGGGAAGACGACGACGGCGGCAACGACGACAACGACGCGGGAGGAGCGAGGACGGCGACGATGCGAACGACGAAGAAGGTTGGGGACGGCGACGCCGACGACGACAACGACCAGGGAGGAGGGAAGATGGCGACGACGACGACGGCGACGAAACAGGAGGGACAACGACGAAACGCCGACGAAGACGACGAGGGAGGAATGACGACCACGGCGACAACGACGACGGAAACGCCGACGACGCCAAGAAGACGACGACGAGGAAAGACAGAGGACGACGACGGCGACGACGACGACGACGCGGGAGAAGGGAGGACTGCGACGACGACGACGACGCAAGAGCGAACGCGCACGCTTTTGTTGAAAATCCGTGTTGCGAAACCCTGTGTTTTTTTATGCTTTTTGGACACTCGGTTTTGCAATCCTTCCAAAACCGAAGGTTTTTGAAGGATTTCGGCATGCGCGCGCGACGACGCGCGCGTGCGCAGTTCGTCCCTTTTTTTGCAGAGGATTCTCGCGACGGCATGCGCGCAAGGGCGTTCGAAAGATTTCGACATGCGCGCGCGCGAAGCCCGTTTGGTAGTTTTTTTTGGTTTCTGAAAGTCTTGAAAAACCGATGGTTTTCGTAAGATAAGCTGCAACACCCTGCATTTTTGTAGGTTTTTCGAAAACTCGATTTTGGAATCCTTCCGAAACCGAGCATTTTTTGAATGATTTCGGCATGTGCGCGCGACGACGCGCGCGTGTACACTTTGTCTATTTTTTGCAAGGGAGTCTTGCGAACTTATGATTTTGGATGAACGAGTGTGCGCGCATAGCATTTGTTGCAGAAGATGGCGGGGGGAACCGATACTGGATTGGCTGGGATAATATGAACTCGCAGGTAGGATGGACATTGGGTCAGAATCCTGTGTTTTACATCGGTTCCTGGGAGGTCTTTCAAACCGGGGGGGGGAGGGTGGTAGAACCTATTTTCTTGTCAGAAAGGAGGACCCATGCGGTGCAACTCTATGTGGTACAAGGCAAATAAAGCAAACCAATGCACAGAAACACGATGCAAATCAAGGTAATTCAATGCAAAGCAAGGCACAGCAATGCAACGTAATGCGATGCAGACACATGTAACGCAATGCACAGCGATGCAAAGCGATACAACGCAGTACAAAGCAATACAGAGGAATGCAAATCAATGCAAAGCGATGCAACGCAATGTTAAGCAATTCCAAGCAATGCAACGCAATGCGAAGCAATGCAGAACAACGCAAAGCACGGCGTAGTAACGTAAAGCAATGCAAAGCAGACCGCGACGAGGCGGCGACGGTGGCCACATGGCGGCCAGAGCGGCCCGTATGCCCAGGCGACGGGCGGCGACGGGCGGGGGCGGGCGGCGACGAGGCGGCGACGGCGGCCACATGGCGGCCAGAGCGACCCGCAGGCCCAGTTCCTTAGAAGACAAGTCAGAAACCCTAAGTGCAAACACTGTTTGAGGAAACTGTTGCTGCCCAAACTGGGTTGTTGTCCCCCCCGACTACAACGACAACATCGGCTCCCGTCTCATACCTCCTCGCAACTCATTCGAAGGGTTTCTTCACCATTTACGTAAGACGACTCGTACTATCGCCTTGGACAGTTGTACAATTTATCAAGGCGCCGCGTATTTGACGCCCAAGAATCGCGCTCTTGCAAAAGACTTTCTTACAATCTTGCAAGGAGGTTTGCTCTCGCCTGAGACTTCTTCGCAATTTGCGAGATTCGCTTCAATGCCTCGCCCGACCCGCCCCTTAAGGTCCGCCCGCATTTCTGGGGCCGCGTCAACTACATGCGGCAGGCAAGGAAGACAGACACCCAAAAGGGGCACGCTCGAAGACGAAGAGGGCGGGTATCGAGGGTTTGGGGGTATACATGTTGAGTGGTGCGAGAGCAGCGACGAGCGAGCAATCTTATCATGACATTTGCACCCTCTTGTCTGAAAACTAGTTATGGTTGATCCACCCTTCCCGGTGTTCATGGCGTGTTCTCCATGTCCTAAGATTGGGTTCTCGTTATTCCCCACATCCTGAGGTGAGTTTCTTGTTACTCCCCATATCCCAAGGACGGGTTCTTCTTACTACTTAGAACGAGCCGAGCACGCGAACACCCACCTCCTCCTCCTCCTCCTCCTCCTCCTCATCCGCCTCCTCCTCACTACTCAGTTTCACTCCGAGTCACCCTCAGGGTCACTATTCAGGTTGTGATCGGAGGACGATGATGATGATGATGATGATGATGATGATGATGATGATGATGATGATGATGATGATGATGATAATGATGATTAGGATGATGATGCTGATGGTAATGATGATGAAGATGATGACGATGATGATGCTGATGGTGATGATGATGCCTGAGGGTGATGATGACGATGATGATGCTGCTGATGATGGTGGTGATGATGACGGAGCAGATTTTGAGGATGTCTGGGGCGAGGCGCTGGTTTCAGCACATCCCAAGGGGGGCTGCCAGGGGGTATATCACTCTTCCGTTCGCGCCCAGATTGCGGGGATGTCTCGAGCGGTTCGCCTGTTTGTGTGCCCAACATCCTCCGGTTTCGGAGCAGATTTTGAGGATGTCTCGGGCGAGGCGCTGGCTTCAGCACCCCCAGCGAAGGGCCGCCAGGGGTATCTCATTCTTCCGTTCGCGCCCAGATTGCGGGGAAGTCCCGAGCGGTTCGCCTGGCTGCGCCCCCAAGTACTTTCCAGCTGTCGGAGCAGTTTTTGTGGATGTCTCGGGCGAGGCGCTGGTTTTCGGACTCCAGGGGGCCCAGATTGTGAGGATGTCTCGACTGGCTTGCTTGTTTAGGTGGCCAGACTCGTCTGCGTTCAGAGCAGACTTTGAGGATGCATCGGGCGAGGCGCTGGTTCAATGTTTCACGTCTGTCCTTCCATATTGCCCCTCCCCTGTGGCTCCAACCACAAGTATTTTACGCCTGTTCCTATATTTTGGGCTTCTCCTGGGGCACGAATCCTTGGCGTTTTCAGATGTTATTATAATTTGCCCCTTCTCCTGTGGCTCCCATCCTACATGATTTGATTTACATTTGTTCCTATGTATTGGGCCTCTCCTGGGGTACGAATCTTCCCCAGGAGGCCCCAGGAGGCTCCATGAGGGCTCCAGGGAACACCAGGAGGCATCAGGAGGCGCCAGGATGCCCCAGGAGGTTCCAGGATGCCCCAGGACGCCCCAGGAGGCCCCAGGAGACACCAGGAGGCCTAAGGAGGCTCCAGAAAGCCACACGAGACCCCAGGAGGCCACAGGAGTGGTTCCAACCCTATGCGCTTTACGTAGGTTCCTGTAGATGGGGCTTCTCCAGGGGGGCACGAACCCTCTGTATTTTACGTCTGTTCCTATTGGTTACCCATCTCCTGTATCCTCAATCCTACTTGTTTTCCCTATGCTCATATCGATCGGGCCTCTCCTGGGGCACGAACCCTTGGTGGTGTTCGTGTGCTCTTATGGATTGCCCCTGTGGATGGCTGTATCACGGTCCAGCCACTGCGGGAGGTCTTCTGAGCCAGTCAACGAAGGGCACGTGTTTCGCACGGCGTTTGCATGAGCACTCCTATTCCTTGGTTCATCATGGAGGGAGGTATCGCGTAGCCATTTCAACTCAGTCACGCTCAGTCATGTTCAGGCCACCGACGTGCATATACACCCACCCTAAGCTTAGACATACTCAGACTCATGCGCATTGACCCGCTCGTACTACTGAGACTCACCCACACTTCAGCTCATTCACGATGATATTCGCTCCCAGTCTGTCCATACTCGAACCAATGTACATTCGAAAACTCTTGCGCCTAGACGCTCACGGCGGAAAAAATCCATGCACACCGATGCACATATGGGGATCTCCACACACTTAATGATTACTCTGACGGATCGGATAACCTCTTCCTCACCTCCTACTCTTTCTCCTCTTCCTCACTCAAAACCATCCGGACTTACTCATGCCCGCTCATACTCAGACGCACTCAGACTCAGGCTCACTCGTATTCTGACTTGCTCACAGTTCGACTCACTCACGCTCAGATTCATTCGCACTCCGACTCACTCACAATCACACCATGCAAACTCTAACACACTCTGTACAGTCACCCACCACACATCACATTCAGACACACTCTGCACAGTTACTCACCACTCGGACTGACTCATACTCAGACTCACACTTCCTACCGCAGACTCAGCCACATCCCTTCCTGACTAAGACCCACGCGTGCTCATCATCGCTTACGCACGCAGGCTGCGAGGATGTCTTAGGCGAGGCGCTGGTTTCAAGCACCCCCCAACGGGGAGCGCCAGAAGAGGGCAGCTCCCGGCCCCGTTCGCGCCCCGATCGTGGGGACGTCTCAGGCTGTCTGCCTCTCTGCGTGCCCCCGCACCCTGTGCTCTCGGAGCATTTTGCGAGGCTGTCTCGGGCGAGGCGCTGGCTTCCGCACCCGCTCCGGGGAAGCGCCAGCAGGGGGCATCCCGCGGCCCCGCTCGCGCCCAGATTGCGGGGATGCCTCGAGCGGTTGGCCTGCCTGCGTGCCCGGCATCTTCTGCTGCTGGAGCATCTGGCGAAGATGTCTCGGGCGAGGCGCTGGTTTCAGCACCCCCAAGGGGGACTGCCAGAGGGGGGGGGGGACTCACGGTTGCGGCAACCCGAGGGGTAGCCGCCAAGGGTCACGGGGCTCGAATCCTACGTGATTTACGTATGCTCCCCACCCCTGGGCGGTCAAAGGACGGACCTCTCCCGCACCCGACGATGCCGTAGGCGACGGCGCTGTCTGGGTCCTGCCGGCAGGCGCTGGGAGAAGGAGGAGGAACCAGGTGAAGGCCAGTAGAGAAAGGAGGGGGAAGAGGAGGAGGAGGAGGAGGAGGAGGAGGAGGAGGAGAGGAGGAGGAGGAGGAGCAGGAGGATGAGGAGGATGAGAGGAGGAGGAGGAGGAGGAGGAGGAGGAGTAGGAGGAGTAGAGGAAGGGCGGAGGAGGAGGAGGAGGAGGAGGAGGAGAGGAGGAGGAGGAGGAGGAGGAGGAGGAGGAGGGAGGAGAAGAGGTGGGAGGAGGAGGAGGAGGAGAAGGAGGAGGAGGAGGAGGAGGATTTGGCGTAATACGGCTTTGGGGCGCCCTAACCTTGGAGCAGGCGGTGGAGGAGGCAGGAAGAGGAGGACTAGGACTAGGACTAGGAATAGGACGGTGGTATGCCTCCGAAGAGGCAGGTTCAAGGAACGAGAAAAAGAGAGCAAGCAGAGGGGGCGACCACGCTTTGCGCGAGTCGCAAACCCCAGACGGGCCACACCACTGGGGAGTACGATGGGCAACGAAATTGGCGGAACGTAGAAACCGCGCCACTGGATCACCCTGTAATTGAAAAGGGGGTGTGTGCTCGCAGAACCCCCCCCTCCCCCCCTTCAAAGGGGGGGGTGAAATTTTCGACCCCCCCCTCGTCCCCCCCTTAAGGGGGGGGTCCGACCCCCCCCTCCCCCCTCCTCCTTGAATGGGGGGGGGGTTACGGCCCCCCCCCCCCTCCCCCCCTTTGCGCCGAACAGGGGGCCGGGGAGGGGGCCTCTCCCGCAAGGGGGGGGTCTGGCCTCAGGATAGTGAGTAGTGAGTAGTGAGTAGAGAGTAGTAAGTAGTGAGTAGATCGTAGCGAATAGTGAGTAGTGAGTAGGAAGTAGTGCGCAGTGAGTAGTGAGTAGTGAGTAATGAGTAATGAGTAGTGGGCAGTGGGGAGTGGGGAGTGAGTAGTGAGTAGGGAACCGTGAGTAGTGAGTAGCGAGTAGGGCAGTGTGCGCACTAAGTAGTGAGGAGGGAGTAGTCAGTAGTGAGTAGTGAGTAGTGAGTAGCGAGAAGGAAGTAGCGAGTAGTGAATAGTGAGTAGTGAGGGGGGAGTCGTGAGCAGTGAGAAACGAGTGGTGAGCAATGGGTAGTGCGTATGGAGTAGCTAGTGGAGAGTAGTGTGTAGTGAGGCGTGAGTTGTGAGTACTGAGTAGTGAGTAGCGACTTGTGACTAATGAGTAGGGAGTAGGGAGTAGGGCGTAGTGAGTCGTGAGTAGTGAGTAGTGAATATTTCGTATCGGATAGCGAATAGCGAGTAGGGAGTAGCGAGTAGTGAGTAGTGAGTAGCGAGCAGTGAGTACTGTGTAAGGAGTAGGGTATAGGGAGTAGCGAGCAGTGCGTAGTTAGTAGTGAGTTTTGGGCAGGGAGTAGTGAGTACTGAACTGTGAGCACTCAGTAGTTAGCAGTGCCTAGTGGATAGTGGGTAGTGAGTAGTGATTCATGAGTAGTGAGTAGTGGGTAGTGAGTAGTGTTTAGTGAGTAGTGAGTATTGAATAGTGGGTAGTGCATAAGGAGTAGTGAGTAGTTTGGGAAGAGTGAGTAGTGAATAGTGGGTAGTGAGTAGGGGGTAGTGAACAGTGAGTCGTGAGTAGTGAGCAGTGAGTAGTGAGAAGTGAATAGCGAGTAGAGAGTAGTGGGTAGTGAGTAGTGAATAATGAGTACTGAGTACTGTTTGGGACTAGGGTTAGGGTTTGGGGTTAGGGTTACGGGTGGTCGGGGTGGTAGTGTTAGGGGTGGTAGGGGTCGGGTTCCAGCGGCGTCACAGGACGCAGTGGCGGGCGGGAGGGAGGGGGGGGGTCCCATTTGGCGGGCAAAGGGGGGGGGGGGGGGGTCCAGAACCCCCCCCCGTTTGAAAATGGGGGGGGAGAGGGGGTTCGACGACGGACCGGGAATAGGGGGGGGGGGGTGTCCGATGACGGACGGGAAAGGGGGGGGAAAGGGTGGGTGGGTTCCCGACGACGGATCGGGGAAAGGGGGGTGTGGGGTGGGGTTCCCCCCCCTTGGGGAGATCCAGCGGCGCGCCCTCCTAAACAACATCACCTTGGAAGAAACCGTACGCTGGCAGGAGGAGGAAACGGAGGAGGAAGAGGAGGAGGAGGAGGAGGAGGAGGAGGAGGAGGAGGAGGAGGAGTCAACGATGTTGGAATAAACCGTTCCTCCAAGATCCCTCCTCGTAGACCCCATACAAAGGTTCATTTCCACTGAAGAACTGCCTCGTTGGGAGACCCTGCAGCGTGCCAACGCTCCATCCTCGGGACTCCAACGCCAAGAATCAACATTACTGTTGCGTCTTGACGACCGGGAATCTGTCCAAAACATCATTCCTGGGACTACAACACCGCGAATCAACGTACGTGTTGCGCTCCGGCAATCCTGAGTCGTTCCAGCACACCATGTTCTGGTATATTAGCAATGCAAACCGTGAAACTCTGGCAAATATTTAAAACTAGTGTGCACGGCGCTGAAAGCGAGAGCCACATTTTGAAGAAAGGAACCATTCTCGGGACTTCAACTCTACGAATCAACATGACTAGTGCGTCTTGACGATCTGGAATCGTGCCAGAACGCCCTGGGACTTCAATACAGCGAATCAGCGTAACTGTCGAGCCCTCACAATCCTGAGTCCTTGCGCAACAGAGCTTCTGGCACGTTTAGCATGGGAGTCCGTAGAAATCTTGCACATCTTTAAGACGAGTGTGCGCAACACGAAAAGCGAGAACCGCATTTTGAAAAGGAGCTGCCCGGAATCAGTGAAACTCTTGATGTTTTACATGACTGTGCGCGGCGCTCAGGCGAGAACCACATTTTGAAAACGACCCGCCCTCAATCCGTGAAGCTCTTGCAAATAAAAAACGAAAGTGCGCGGCGCTAAAGCGAGAACCACATTATGAAAACGACCCGCCCTCAATTCGTGAAGCTCTTACAACATTTAACAACACATGTGCGCGGCGCTGAAGAGAGAACCACATTTTGAAACTGACCCGCCCTCAATCCGTGAGGCTCTTGCAACATTTAACAACAAATGTGCGCGGAGCTGAGGCGAGAACCACATTTTGAAACTGATCCGCCCTCAACCCGTGAGGCTCGTGAAATATTTGTAGACGAGTGTGCGCAGCGCTGAAAGGAGAACCACATGTGGAGAACGGCCCGCACTCCATCTGTGAAGCTGTTGCCACTTTGTGAGCTTCAAAGAAAAACATGATGAAGAATCCTCGAAGCAATACGCCCGGCTCGCTCTTTCGACCGGCCTCGGGGTGCGACAGGGAGGCATGGAATCAAGGAGGACTGGAGGAAAGGAACGGAGGAAGAAGGTGCGGGGTACATATAAAGAAAAGGAATGGAGGAGGAAGAGCAAGACGCGGCTGCGGAGCGCGGTGGCCCACTCTGGATCTTCCGATGCGCGCGCGCTACCTCTATCGGGTACTGCAGGCCGCCGGGGGCGGCTGAAGGACAGCCTGGTTGTGTAAACGTGCGCACTGCCAAACACCAGGGTGGATTGTCCTGGGAGCCGTCGCAGCATTTTCCCCTTTGCCTCTTCGGCCAGCCAAGCGCCACAGCGAGCGGGCCCGCCAGGGACGGCTCCGAGTTCTGTCGCACTGCCTCTGCGCGCGCCTCCACCAGCGCCGCCGCGGTTCGAAGGTCAGCCTCCAGCGCGTCCGCGAGCGAAATGGTGCCCAGGTCGCGACGCACCTCGTGAGCCGCGTGCGTCTGACCACCCCCGAACGCCGAAGGATGCCTCGTGGCCGCCCGCTCAGCGCCCCCACCCTCCCCCGCCTGCGCGGTAGCTCCACCAGTTCGCAGGCGGCGGGCGGTCCGCAAAGTCCCAGCAGGCCCTCAGCGCCGCGTCGCAGCGAAAGGCCCTCGCCCTCCTCCGCCGTCGCCAGCTGCAGGCAGTGCTGGCTGCTGTTTCTGGCGCAGGCTGCCATGAAGGCCCCCCTCGCACTGCCAGGAGATGCCCCCCTGACCGCAGCCGCCCAAGGCGGGCCCAGAACTGCTGACAGCAAGCGCGGTGCCGCCGTGTCCACTCGGGGCCCCCAAAACCGAGTGGTGCTGGACCGCGTGGTGACCTCGGAGTCCCCGACGGCCTCGCCGCGCGATTCGTCACCGCACGGGCTTTTTGGGGCCTCGGAGGCCCCAGTCGCTCGAGACATCCTCGGAGCACGACCCCAGCCCCCAAACCGCGCGGTGACCCCGAAGCCCCACCGACTCACCCACGCAGCGTGGCCACCCGCACCGCGTGGGGGCCACCTGATCCTTGCGCCTTCTGCCCCCTCCTCCCGCGACGACGGCGGCGGGCCCAGGAGGCTCCGCAGGGCGGCGCGGCGGATGATGCGGCCGCCGCCCCCGCAAAAACCGCCGCTTGTGCCGCCGCTTGTGCTGTAGGCCGCGACGTCCTGCCCGCAGTTCTGCCCGCCGTGGGCGCCCAGAAACGCAGGCAGCCGAGCGCAGGCAGCGCGGGCGCAGCGCAAGCTCGCCGGGGGCTGCTGCCCAGGCGATGCCTGCGCCCCTGGCCACGGGCGAGGCCAGCTCCCGGAGGGCGCGGGGGTGGAAGTCGGGGGGGACCTAAGGGCGCGCGCGCACGGGGTGAGGGGGGCCCATGGGAAGGAGGAGGGAGATGAAGCTAAGGATGAGGATGGAGATGAGGAGGGGGATGAGGATGACGATGAGGATTAGGATGAAGATCAACATCAATAATCTTATACTAATGATGATGACGATGATGCTGATGATGCTTATGCTAATGATGCGGGTGATGATGAAGATTATGCTGCTGCTGATGATGCGGATGATGCTGCTATTAATGGCGATGATGATGCTGCTGATGATGATGATGCTGATGCTGAAGACGATGATGCTGATGCTTTTGCTTCTGCTGCTGGTGATGTTGATGCCGTTATTTTCTTTGTAGAAGTTGCTGTTGTTGCTGCTGTTTATGTTGTTGTAGTTGTGCTAGTCGTAGTAGTGGTAGTAGTAGTAGTAGTAGTAGTAGAAGTAGTAGTAGTAGACGTAGAAGTAGTAGTAGTAGTAGTAATAGTAGTAGTAGTAGTAGTAGTAGTAGTAGTAGTACTAGTCGTAGTAGTCGTAGTAGTAGTAGTAGTAGTAGTAGTAGTAGTAGTAGTAGTAGTAGCAGTACCAAAAGGAGTAACAAGAGTAGTAGTAGTAGCCGGAATAGTAGAAGAAGTAGTCGTAGTAGTCGTAGTAGTAGTAGTAGTAGTAGTAGTAGTAGTAGTAGTAGTAGTA